GAAAATCAAACAAAATTACTTATATATGTATAATTTGTAACATAAAAATTATTATTTTTTGACAACTACCCTTTTAATTTATCTTCAATTTCAATTTCCTAATCCAACTATACAAAAGAATGAATTTAGTTTATTTTATCCCTTTCATTTTTATTTTTCTCAACAAATTAAATTTTCAAACATCAGCATAACTTCATAGGATTTGAAGAGTATCTATACACTACTAGTCAAATATATTTTTTTGGAGTCAAATTTCATTTCTATAACATATTGATATAAGAGAAATTTCGATAAATAAATCCTTGAAACAACCTAAAAAAACATTAAAAAAAAAAAAACAAACACCAAGCAACATTTTATTAAAATATTTTTTTTGGTCTCTATCAAACTTAGATTGTGATGAATTTTATTTTATTTTTCCTCTTGCATGTAGATCTTAAATTTACATGGTAATAAATTTTGTTGATATATAAATTTGATCATAACGATAGCATGTGTGAGTCGTCCAATGGTCAAAGTCACCTCAATTTTTGCTGATCAAATCGTATATTATCTCCTAAGGTTGTTTGAGTGAGTGTGCCGCTTGGGAGGGAAAGGGGGCTCCGGTCACCTCTCTCCTCTCTCCCCTATTTTTTCTTCTATTTTCTGCAAAATAAACCTTGGGAGATCTCTCTTCCCAATCTCTCCCTCATTGTGAGGTGTTTCTTTCCCTTAGGGTGGATGTTTTTGAGTTTCTCCTCCTTCCCCCTCTCAACCGAAGCTAGATCTGCCGCTTCTTGTCACCACCACCACACCATAACCAGATCTGCCGCCCATTGCCATTTCTCGCCGTAGAAACCACCACCAGATCTGATTTCTTCCTCCTCTAGATCTTTGTTTTGGTTTGCTTTTTGAGTTTTTATTTCTTTTTTATTTGGTATTTTGTATGTTTGGACTCCGTGGATGTGTTGTTGATAGCTTACGCTCTCTGGGATGAAAGCTTTTGTAGTATCTCTGACTAGCCGTAGTGTTGATCTCTTATGTTCGCTTCTGCATTGCAGTACGGGTTAGGATCTTGGATGATCATGTCTTTGATACTATTATGGCTTTGCCTGTGTGCCTCTTTACTCATTTTTCCTTTGTTTAGAGTAAGCTCTATTTGTGTAGGTATGGAGTCCATTGTAAGTGTCGTTTGGCTTATCCTTAATAGATTTTACTCCCATTCAAAAAACAAAAAAAAAAACCCTTATATTGTCAAAATAAATAAATAAATCCTCCCTACCCAAACGTAATTCTCAAAATAAGGCTTGTTTTCAAAACATGATTAAAAGTAATTTTTTGATTTTTTTGATCATATTTCTCATTTTTTTGCATTTTTTTTGTTTATTTAAAAAAGGTCACAAAAGTAAAAAAAATCAGCTTTTAACTCACTTTTCAAAACAATTCTCAATTTAACAATCCCCTTTTGACGGTTTGACCCTTCTAACAAAATAAATCCTCATATTTTAATTTTATCAATTTAAATAATAGATTTTGATTTATTTTTGTATGGACACAGAAAAATCACATACTTTTTAATGAAGAAATCTAACGAAAACACCCCACGTGATCGCCATCTACAAGACAAAACATCCCAACCGTTGAACAGTCGGGGCCCTCTAACGCCCAAGTTAGTCCTCCAATATTATCAAAATATTTAATAGACTAATCCATAGAGAGTACGTCAACTCGTAAAGGTGTCGCATATTTACAATATAGAGTGACTTGCCTATCAAATAGTTTGAATGTTCTAAAAATCCGATCCCAGACAATCTCTAATTGTTTAGGACTCCTATATTGATAAACTTTCATCTCTTTATGAGTTTTGCATAACATAAAATACTAATACAGTGTTTGATAATGATTTGACAATTGTCATACACACAGCAATTCATAATTCCGCCATGTGGCAATGTCGGAACCCATATAATTTCTGCAGTTATTTTTATTTCCTTTCAATTTTCAATATAAATCATTTGTCTATTTTTATTAACTAAAACCAATAAAAAAATAGTATTTTAGTCATTAAATTCAATGTAAGTATATATTTAAAAACCTAATTTTCATTAAGTTTAATGACTAAAATATCAATTTTTTCGTCATTTTTTGTTAGAGAAAATCGACAAATAGTTCAAATTGAAAACAAATCTAAAATTTAGGGTTTATATTCATAAAATTTATTTTGTTATAAGGATCAAACTGTCAAAATCTTAGATTTTTTTGTTTTTGTTTTTTTAATCATCACAAACTCAACGTAGGCATATCTAAAATATTTAAAATATTCATTTTCATTGAGTTTAATAATTAATTTTTTTATCGATTTTAATTAATGAAAATAGATGAATGTTTTAGATTGAAAACAAATCAAAATTATTGTCACGACCCAAACCGATTCCTACAAGTTTAGCATCATGACCGGCCAGTAATCTGAGATTATCAAAGGTCTGCTTAACAGTAATACAATGATAGGGGTTGCGAAAGCCAATAATTAATAAAATATAACGTCCAATGAGTTGTACAGACTTAAATAAAATAAAACAAACCAGTATATAAACATATATACATAAGTCCATGTCAAGTTTAGGTACACAAAACATAAACATGACTTAGGGATTAAATCCCATTAACAAAATAAAATCAATCATAGCAAATGTCTTAAGACTAAACTTTACACTTGATCATAATTTCAAAAGGGTGAATTCTAAACCATCCAAAAAGACTTGACACTTAACAGTTTGGAACCTCGCGATGAGGCACGGTATTTTGCTTGACAAAACAGAGTTTAAGTTGATGTTACTAAGTCTGCTTTTGCACTTGATCACCTACATACATATATAAAACAACGAGTTAGAGCCCAGTGAATAACGTCAGTGTAAAAAGGTTAAATGAATAAGGTTCATAACTTATAAAATCAAAGCAATGTTCTTAACATGATCAAAGTATTTTTCGGATACTTGAAATCAGAAATAAAGTTTCTCAAACCTTTAATCCTTTCATAGTTTAAAACATAGTGTGGTACATTTCCAAAAGCTTTATTAAACCCTTGACAAAATTCCATATAGAACGTTTGCGCCAAAACGAAGCATTTATCATAAATACAAATTTAGATAAAGTTCATCAATCGTTCTGAGTTACTTACACTTCGGAGTACAATAATACTAAACAGAATATTATCAAAACGACCATAAAAGACCAGAGACATAGGCATAACGATCACTATGGATCGACATATACATAACGATCACAACGGATCAACAAAAACATAACGACCACAATTGATCTACTTAGACATAATAACCACAACAGGTCGACGTATACATAATGACCACAATGGATCGACTTAAACATAACGGAAATTTCCGTGAATCAAAGCATGTATTCATGGATGTCACATTGGATGATCAAAAAGGGATCTCATTCATTCTCATCAAACAGAAGTTTTCAGAAAACCTGTCATATCATAATCATTTTGAAATTCCATAACATAACTTAATGTTACAGAAAATACTTATCACATTAGACATTTCGTAAACAAAACATAGATTTCATAAAACATGATATAGCATAGCCATTTCAAAATGATTTCTAAAAAACTATCTTTACAAAGACATTACTCACCATGCTTGGTTGGACGATACTCCGTGTGCAAGTGTCCTGCAAAACATATTCAAGCACAACGTCTCTAAACACATTTCATTCATTCAATTGGTTTTTTCGTTACAATCAATTACCAAAAAAAAAAAAAAAAAAAAGCCAATAAAAAAATTGTAGGGTTTGAGTTTTGTAACAAAAAAAAAAAAAAATCTTGAAATTTTAATTTTTTCAATTTAAATCTTAATCTTTTTATTTGTTTTCAATCTAAATCATTTGCTTATTTTTGTTGGATAAAATCGACAAAAATAGTATTTCACTAAGGCCTCGTTTGTAAACATGCTAATTTAGTAATTTTTTGGCTATTTGACTAAAATATGAGCTAAAAAAAACTAGTATGTTTGGGATGACTTTTTTAGTTTTTTACGAAAAGATGTACAAAAAGTAGAGAGAAAAGAGAATCTTTGACTTTTTGGTATGAGTTGTTAGCTTTTTGACTAATTTAATAACTTTTTGACTTTTTGACTAAAAAGTTCGGTTGCCAAACGAGGCCTAAATTCAGTGTGTATATATAAAATGTTTGAAATACCTTTTTGATTGAATTTAATAATTAAAATATATTAATTTTACTTAACAAAAATAAAAAATAATTTAAATTAATAATAAATCAAAAATTAAAAATTTAAATTGATAAAATTAAAAATTTAATCTTATAACAAAACTTAATTTTTTTTAATATAAATTTTTCCTTTTTTTTCTTTTTAATTGTAAGTTGGAGCACTTTTTTCATAAATCTTTTTTCACTTACTTATATTTCATTTAATTCACATTATTTTCTTATGTTCTAATAAGTTTTATAGGTGGCATAATTACCAAAATACCCTTAATTATATTCACATTTACAGTGTGAATGTTCCGTAATATGAATGTTAACACCATCAATGTGAATGTTCACATCGTCAATGTGAATGTTCATACCATCAATATGAATATTAACATGTCAATGTGAATTACTAACCGTTCAAAAAATATTTATAAAAATAAAAATATCGATAAAAAAATATAAGGGCATAAGTGTCTAAGAAAATAGTGTAAATCAAGAAAATGAACTTTATGGAATAAAACTATACATACATGGGACTAAATGGATTAAAAAATTCCTTCATGAACTTCTTGGATTAAAACACTTCTAAATTGGACTTATCAATAAAAATCCCATAAAAAAATATCTTATCAACTACGTACACTTAAAAAAAGATTTCCTAATAATTTTTCTTTATAATTTTTCCATATTTTTCTTCCGTTACTTCGTTAGTAAATACACGGGATACCGTACGGAAAATTAGAAGAGAGAAAAAAAAATAAAAATAGAAATAAAAATAAGAAATTAGCACCAAAGATTTTCGTCTCCCAGACGAAGAAGAACAAGAAGAAGAACACCTAAAACGATTTATAGAGAGAGAAAGTGAGAGAGAGCGATTTATCTTCAACTCTTCTTCCTCACTCTGATTCTCGATCTGTGTGCCTTTGCTCTCGCGTTCTTTGATTAAAAAGCTTTCAAGATTCGCTCGCACGCTCCTCGATCTATCGACTCAGCTCTTCAATTTCCCGTAAGTTACCTTCCTTCTCTTTCCTTGTTCATTCAAAACCCTAGGGTTTCAATTTCATGGCTACGAATTGTTGTTTTTGGGTTTATTGATTCGAAGTTCTTTCAAGTTTGTGATACAGAGTGTTACATGATTTTTTTTTTTTGGTTTCTCATACCTTACATTGCTTTGTTGACTTGTTGGTTTACGATTCATTACGTGTTTTCGTGTTTTAGGTTGCAATTAGGGTTTCGGATTGGCGCGAAGATTGAGAGGATTGAAGTGATTGAAGTATGAGCATCGATAGCCCCGGTGAAGGAGAGAATTAGGGTTTTCGTGGTTTTTTTTTTTGGGGGAGGGTGAATATTGGACTTCCATGGGCGATGGTGGCGTTGCATGCGTGCCTTCGCAGCATATTATGGAGCGGTTTTCGATTTCAGAGACATTTTGCGGAGGCAACAATGGCAAGTTCAAATCAAAGTCTTTCAAAGTTATTAAGCGAAAGATGAAGATGAAGGTGAAAAAAGAGCAATTTCAGAAGAAGACAGAGTGTGGGAAGGTTGAATTGGGTCCTGGGAAAGGTAAGAGCAGTAGAGAAGTTGAGAATGGTGAATTTTGTATAGATAAGGTGCCAAAAGAGGAAATTGAGGAAGGTGAATTGGGTTCATGGCCTAGATGGCAGAATGGGGATATGATTCCTGAGAAGCCGCGGAAATTTGAAGTGAAGAGCGAAATTGAGAAGGGAGAGTCTCCAGCTGATAAATGGAGGAAAGGGGACGCAGAAAAGGGAGAGTTTGGTCCGGGGAAGTGGGGAAAGGAATATGTAGATAAAGGGGAATTTGAACTGAAGAGTGAAATTGAGAAGGGAGAGTCTCCAACTGAGAGATGGAGGAAAGGGGACCTAGAAAAGGGAGAGTTTGGTCCGGGGAAGTGGCGGAAGGAATATGCAGATAAAGGGGAATTCAGTTCTTGGAGGTCTCGAAGTGATGATGTTACAGAGAAGTTTAGGAAAGGAGAGCCTGAGAAAGCAGAATTCGGGTCGTGGAGAGGTTCTAAAATTGAACTGGAGAAAGGAGAGTTTATGCCAGAAAGGTGGCATAAAAGTGAAGTGGTGAAGGATGAGTATAGGTATTCGAGAATGCGCCGGGATGATTTAGCCAAAAACAAGGGATGGAAATGCGAACGAGAGTGGACACCTCCTTCTGCTAAGCATGCAGATGAGAAGGAGTTCAGCAGAAATGGGAGCCAGCATTTGGAAAAGTCCTCCAGGTGGGAAACTGGTCCAGAGAGAAATCCAAGGCTGGGTTCAAAAATTGTTGATGAGGAAGGCTCTTTTAAGAATGAAGTCAACAATGGGAAGAATCATGGCAGAGAATACTCATCTGGAAACCGGTTGAAGCGGTATGGTAATGATTCTGACAACGGTGGTGATTGTAAACATTATGGAGAATATGGCGATTATATAAGCTCAAAAAGCCGGAGGCTTTCTGATGATGGTGGCCGCTCCACATATTCAGAGCACTACTCACGCCGTTCTGTGGAGAAGTCTTACAGAAATCCGTCTTCCTCTAGAAATATTAATTCTGACAGGTACTCTTCTAGACATTATGACTCTGCTTTGTCTTCCAGAGTATCTTATGACAAGCATGGTAGTAGCCCACGTCATTCTGAGCGGTCCCCACATCAGCGGGCCCGCTACACTGATCACAGGGATAGAAGTCCAGTCTATCGGGAAAGGTCCCCATATGATCGGAGTCGTCACTTTGATCATAGAACCCGAAGTCCTAGCTACTCAGCACGATCCCCACAAGATCGAGCTCGTTATCATGATCGCAGGGATCGGACCCCTAACTTCTTGGAAAGTTCCCCACTTGATAGGAGTAGGCCCAATAATTACCAGGAAACAAATCGAAAAATTGGAGCAAGTGAAAAGCGGTTAAGTCATTATGGAAATAAAGGGCAAGAAGAGAAGCTTGATCTGAAAGATCCTCATGGGAGAGATTCCCACATATTGGCTAAAGAATTTCCAAACAGAAGCAGTTTGCATAATGGTAGTGTGTCAGTTGAGAAAACTATTGACCATCCGTCTCAGGAGGAAGAGCAATCTAAAACTCAAGGAGTGAATTCAAAAGAGTCTCCTCAGGCTAATGGCACTACCGAGGAGCTTCCTTCAATGGAAGAGGACATGGATATATGCGACACACCACCGCATGTGCCAATGGTGGCAGATTCAACCACAGGGAAATGGTTCTATATTGATCATTTTGGTGTGGAACGTGGGCCCTCCAAATTGTGTGACGTGAAGGCACTTATGGAAGAAGGCCTTCTTGTGTCTGATCACTTGATTAAGCACTTGGACAGTGACAGGTGGGTTACTGTTGAAAATGCGGTTTCCCCATTGGTGACTCTAAATTTTCCTTCTATTGTGTCAGACGTTATTACGCAACTGGTAAGCCCTCCTGAGGCTTCTGGTAATCTATTGGCAGATGTTGGAGATACTGTTCAATATGCTAATCAGCTAGGTGAGGAAATGACATCCACTTTGCCGGAGCCAGTGATCTGCCCAGATGAGAGTTTGTGCGGATTTGAGACTTTAGAAGATCTTCGTATTGATGAAAGAGTAGGAGCCTTGTTGGAGGGTCATAATGTTATTCCTGGCCAGGAACTTGAGACAGTTGGGGGTAATTTTTTTTTCTTTGCTTTTTCTGAACTTTAGGTATCTTTTAATATGTTCGTTAGTAGTAGTAATCATCTTCCTTTTTTTACAATACATATTTTTTTTATATATATCTTATTTTATTCTATTATTCATGCTTTTGGAATCCTGGTGTATTGCAGAAGTGCTGAAAATGACATTTGAGCATGGAGAGTGGGAGAAATGGTGTAATTCTGCAGGTAAATGTTTTTTTTGGCATTATTTGTAATTAGCCTTAAATTTTCTGGAAAATAAATCCTTGTCAATTAATGTGTTTGTGGTTTTAGCATTCAATTTTTATAGTTTATTTATTTATTTTTATTTATGTATTTATATATTTTATTTTAAATCCTTGGGAAAATTACAATAAAACCCCGTAGACCCTAGTAACAAATTAAACACTACATTTAAAAAATAAAAATAAAAATTTAAGCTTGAACTTTTAAAGTAGACACAATTTAAACCATCCATCCATCCATAGCATTATCTCATTTGTTATAATCAGTTTAGTGTTTGGATGTTATATCTTGGAAGTGTTGTGTCTGTCAAAGGTGATTATGTAACTGTTGGCTATTGTGAAAATGATGATGAGTGTTAAATATCAATTTCACCCTTAGATAAATTAATCATGAATTCCAAATTGTTTATATATTTTGTTAACAATGAAGTATATAATTGTTAAATATTAAAAACAGTTAAAGTTAATGAAGTTGTATTTTATGTGTGCGTGTGTATATCTTTATTCACTTGATAAAACTATAAAAAAACGAAAAATTAAATCGATAGTAGTAACATTATATATGTAAAGTTCAGAAAAGGAAAAATATCATATAAATATGTTTGGTACAGTATTGCACAGTATGAACTAGTTTTATTAACAAACAAACCTGTCAAAACATGTATCAAGGCTTCGGTGGGTTAAGCTGGCAAGGAAGACTTACACCTCACAGCCAATTTAGCTTGGTTCAAGTCATAATGATCTTATGTTTTTGTTTCTTTTACTTTATAATCAAGGGCAATTTTGTAATATACACAAACTAGTGAGGGCCAAGTGGCATATTCGGAAAAGCAACAATGAATTTTGAATGTGCATAATTTTGCATTTTGTGGAAGAGACTCTCCTGCCACTTTGTGTCAAAGCGTGAGATATTGCATTTAGACCACGTTTAACAGATGCAATTATGGTTTGCCAAATGGCCAACAAATCCATGATTTGGCCACAAATGCAATTATAGAGGCTGAAACAAGGTTGCTAAAGGAGTCAATATTTTGCATGATATAGACGTTCATGGAAGTTTGATTATTCAGGACTTTGCAACAGAACTGTTAACTTTCTTTTGGCTAGGTATGGATTTGGTGTCCGTTGCCCTGTTTTCTTTCATTTTCACTTCATGATCTCTTGGTAGCTCGGGGGTTCTCTTATGCACTAAAGCACTGGAAAACTACTCAACAGGGTTGGGTCTGAAATCAAAATTAGCACTTTTCTTGGTACACATTTTAAGAGGTTGATTTCAAGTCAATGGACTTAAATGTCAATGTAACACTGTAACAAGGCTATGCTAATGGTCCTCCATTTTACCGTATTCTTGTCTGCAACTTGTAACCTATATCAGTTTTTGTTGGTATAAATATAACATAAATTTAAATAAAATGATGGTTTTTATGTGACATAAATTATGAAAGTTAAGTGAAACATTATATTACTGTTGAGCATTTTAGAATTTTGTTTATAACATACACCTTACCACTTTGATCTGTTCTGTACTTTCTTTTACACATTGTATGCACATAGACACGAAATTTTCTTGTAGCTTGTGGAGAAGCACTTATTCTGGATGTGTGCAGGCTTACCTTGGAATCAGTCTTGCGCTGGGGAACAACATGATAAAATATCAGGTGATGGCTTATCCACGTACCCTGAACTTGCAAAGATAGAAGCTACAGTAAGTTCAACGGTTCTGTCTGATAGGGATTGTGCCTTTTCGTGTGCTGACTCTGGTGACTGTTTCTCTGGACGATGGTCATGTAAGGGTGGGGATTGGAAGACGAATGATGAAGCTGTCCACGATAGATCCTGGAAAAAGAAGTTTGTCCTCAATGATGGATACCCACTTTGCCAGATGCCAAAGTCTGGCTATGAAGACCCTCGATGTTATCAAAAAGATGAATTGTTCTATCCTTCTCACAACAGAAGGCTGGACCTCCTGCCTTGGGCCTTTTCCTTGCCAGATGAGTGGAATGATTGTAATGGCGTTGGAAGATCAAGTCAATCAAAACCTGTTGTTGTAAGAGGAGTAAAAGGAACTATGCTTCCTGTCATCAGGATAAATGCATGTGTGGTCAAGGACCATGGTTCATTTGTTTCTGAACCTCGCATGAAAGTTAGAGGAAAGGACAGATGCACTTCAAGGTCTGCTCAACCTCACTCTGGAAATGGTTATGTGAAGAGATCATCTGAAGAAGGTGGTTCTCAATCTAAAAGTATTCACGAACACGAATCACATGGCTCCTCCAAGAGTATAACATCCATTGATTTACCAAAAGGCCATATTTCCACAGTAGATGACTTACAATTACATTTAGGTGGGTGGTACTACCTTGATGGTGCTGGGCATGAACAAGGGCCTTTGTCATTTTCAGCGCTACAAGGCCTGGCAGATCAAGGTATTATTCAGAAGAATAGCAGTATTTTCAGGAAAATTGACAGAGTTTGGGTTCCAATTACCTCTGCTGCAGAGGCTTATGAAACTCCTATCAATAGCCGACAAGAGATTAATCAAACATCTGGAGCTTCTCTTACAGAATCAACAGGTGTGGCACTTGGCCAAAACACCACTGTTTCAAGTTTGTTCCACAACTTGCATCCACAGTTCATTGGTTTTACTCGGGGGAAGCTCCATGAACTGGTCATGAAATCATACAAGAGTCGGGAGTTTGCTGCAGCTATAAATGAGGTCTTAGATCCATGGATCAATGCCAAACAGCCAAAGAAGGATATGGAAAAATACATACATAATCCAGCTCTCTATAATAAATTCCAGAATTCAGGTATTGTAAAATCCTCCAGAGTTTCTGTAAGAATCCTGGATTTTTGTTTAGCAGAAAGGAATGTTTGTTTCAAGATATGATTTATGAGAAATCCTTCGTCCATTGTGTTTTTAATTTGTGGTGTCCCTTTACAGGGCACACCTTCAATCTCCCCTATGGGATATTTCTAGTGTCAATGTTGCTTGTCACATGGTTTATCGTGGTCTTTCAATTTGTTCTTTTTTTGGTTGCTGGGAAGCTAATAATTTTTATGTTTATATAATATTCTAGGGTTGTGTTACTAGAAAACCCTAATACCCTAGCGATTTACGTTTTGGAACACACCTACCGAAACATGGTACATTTTTTTCCCCAAAATGGTGAATTTAGCGTTCCAAAGCGATTCCAGGATTTCCCTCTTTATTTTCTTAAAGTTTCTCTTATAATGAAAACAAATCTAGTGTAAATGAACTAAAATGTAGGGAGAATGGAGTTTGGCCGAACAAAATACAAAAAAAGGGGCCATAATACTCCTAGAAATGTGTTTAAGGAAAATTGCTCTACTGATTAGAGGCACTTTTCTAATAGTGTGATTTATATAAGTCTACCCTAACATATAACATTTTAGAGCATCACACTCCGTTTCCTGTTCCTCGTACCAAAATGATTTGTGTTCCAGGTAATATAGGTCTAGGGAGTTTTATTATCAGAATATTACGATTCGCGATTCGATTTATCATTTTTGTAAGATCGATACGAATCTATAGGTGAATTTATTTTGGAAGTGAATCACACGATTCACAATCGATTCATGATTTGATTCAATTTTTACGATTTATGCAATTTTTGAAATTATTGTGTCTGACATAGTTTCGACTCTTCTTTTCTCTATCTTTTTAGTGAAAATGACATAATACAACTTGTAATAGCGTTTAATACCGAAATAACCAACATATATACATGATTTGTTATTATTTTAGTGATCATAGAGTTTTTAATAGGATCCAATCAGATTCAGTCAGACCTAATATATTTTTAACCTTTCTTCCCTTTTTTTTTTTCTTTAAAAAATCATAATATATTTTCTAAAGATATTTAAGATTAAAGTTACACTCTGAATATAATTGAATATTACATATGTGAGGTCAGTTATACCTTTTAAAATATTTTAGGTTTTAAAATAAAAGATTCTAAATAATTCTTTCTTATTATTTGCTCACTGTTACTTATGTATGCTTATTGTCCAAATATCAATATCGTTGTTAATTATTGTTACTTTAGAAATTGATAATTTGTCTATTTGGTTATTATCTTTATTAAGAACGGTGGATAAGAAATATCTAAAAAAGAAAAAAGATAAGAATCTTTGTTAACTTCTTACCTATTAAACTATATGATTATCATTCAAAATAACATTTTTATTGATTTAAGTTTAAATATTTCATATTTAAAAGATATGTTTAACCTCTAAATGTATAGATATATGTTTTTAAGTAATTTAGAAAAAGTGACCGAAACTTTACAATTCACAATTCGATTCGACTCGCAATTCGGTACGAAACCATTTCGATTCACGATACGAATCCTGATTTGACAACTATGCTATGGAGTGACACAGGAATGTTTGTTCAAGCTTATAGCTGAACTCAATGCAATTTAATGGTCCCGTACTGCGACTACATGTTTTTTTCCCCGTTTCTTTTTCATCATTTTGCTCTAGCTAGGTCATACATGTAAAACTAGAAGTTTTTCAAGCTAGATGCTAGTTTTGTTTCTCTTTTAATTGACCACCTTTTGTGCCTTTCTTCACTATTGCACATGCGACTTAAATCCTATCACTGCTTTTGTTTGCAGTCCTTGGTCTTCATTATTGATGTCTAACCCATCTGTCCAACTACCTTGTCCTCTACTCTGTCAGTGCTATCTAAAAGTTTTTACAATTGTATTAATTTATTTCTTTCCTAGTGTTACTAGTGAACTGTTCAACTTAGTTGTGATGGAGCATATTGTACTCTAAAGCATGATGGGCAACGATATTGGATTTTCCCATTTTTTTGATAGATATTTTTTGTTCCACCATGTTTCTGATCCATATTGCTCCAATAGGCATCAATTATTTTTACGTGATTTTTTATATAATTTTTAATCTCTTCACACATCTAGTCTTACATTGTGGGTCATGCTATCCATATTTGTTCATCGCGATGATCAATCTGGTTGTGAGGATTAATTTTTTATTTATTTATTTATTTTTTTTTCTGACCATTGTCATGTGTGGATGTCATGTTTTCTTTTATAACATGCATACTCACCGTTGGCTATTTTTGGGTAAAAAAGTATGAAAGGTAACACATTATTTATGCACACAAATGAATTTTGTGCAGGCAAAAGAGCCAGGCTTCTGGTTGATGGAAGTGAAGAAGATTATGAAATAGAAGAAGTACCAGCAGTTCAGGAGGAATGCACATTTGATGATTTGTGTAGTGATGCTATTTTTCATGAAGAAGACAATGTAGGTTCTGAGATTGAGAATGGGAGCTGGGGTTTCCTGGATGGTCATGTACTGGCACGAGTCTTTCATTTCCTTCGAACTGATGTAAAAGCCCTTGTTTTCGCTGCTGCAACTTGCAAGCACTGGAGAGCAGTGTTTAAGTTTTATAAGGACATCTCCAGACAGATTGACTTGTCATCTGTTGGCCCTAGTTGCACAGATCCCATGATCTGGAAAATCATGGTAGATTTTCTTTTCCTTATTTTGTTTTTTATTTTTCAAAAAATTATTTTGCGTTGGCTTGAGAAATTTGTCCTCGTCCAAGTCTAATGTTTTTATTTGCTTGCAGAGTGGGTATAAGAAAGAGAAGATAACTTCATTGGTTCTACTTGGTTGCACCAACATCTCTACTTGCATGCTTGAAGAAATTATTCAGTCATTTCCTTCTTTATCTTGTATAGATATTAGAGGCTGCAGCCAGTTTGGTGATTTGGTGGATAAATTTCTAAATATTAATTGGTTGAAGAGCCGAGCTTCACATTCAAAAATGAGGATTCTGAAAGACATAAGTGATAGAACTTCGTCAGTGTTCAAAAGTCATAATGTGTTGGATACTCGCATGGATGATTCCAGTGGACTGAAAGATTATTTTGAAAGTTTGGATAGGAGGGACTCAGCAAATCAGTTATTCCGCAGAAGCTTGTACAAACGCTCAAAGCTATTTGATGCTAGAAGATCGTCTTCTATCCTATCTAGGGATGCCCATTTGAGGCGTTGGGCCATCAAAAAATCTGAAAATAGTTACAAGAGGATGAAGGAATTTCTTGCTCTGGGTCTGAAAGACATAATGAAAGAAAATACCTTTGATTTTTTTGTGCCCAAGGTACTACCATAGTTGCTTTTACCTTTGCCCTGTGAGTCGTCTTGGGCTATATTTTATTTTGAAGTGCATATTTCTTGTTGGCCAGGTTGCTGAAATTGAGGATAGAATGAAGAATGGCTATTATGCTGGTCATGGCTTGGGCTCCGTGAAAGAGGATATAAGTCGAATGTGCAGGGATGCGATCAAGTAAGTTTAAGCTTCTCTATTTGAAGGCTGTATATTGTGTATTTGGTGAATAACAACATTAGGAATGACAGTTAGGCTTTAGATATGAAAACCATAGGACTTTTATTGGTATTGGAATAATATCTCCTTGAGGTTCTGACTTAGTTCTTATGACAGCTGAGATAGACTTCACATGGAGGTTTCTTGTGAAAACTAATAGGTTGTTAGGGCTGAGATAGACTTCACATGGAGGTTTCTTGTGAAAACTAATAGGTTGTTAGGGGATATTTCCTTTAGCATGCCTCAGCAATAAAGGGTGAGAACTGAAAATGCTTGTGGTCTGTTTGGATTTTTTCCAGAACTGTTTTTTTGCTCTTCAAAACAAAGGAAATGAAGACCACTGGAATTTCGTGTGGTGGAATTGTTTTTAAGGACTGTTTTGGAAAAATTTCCTAAAAAGAGGCCTATATTTTGGAAACATTTAAAACAGCTCTATGAATTATGAGTTTTTAAAATCTGTATTCTATTGAAGCATATAAAAATCATGTCAAAATTTTTCATCTTCTGCATTTAATAAACTCACAAAAGCAAAACCAAAATAAAAAAATGTGCAATTTAACCTATACGAAACAGGCCCCAAGGTTCTCATTTCCAGTTTTTGTGCATGCTGTGCGTGCATGTTTGTGTGTGATGTACCTGTTTAGGACACTATACAACAACCTTGTCCGTGGGTATGATCTTTGAGGCCGTATATTTACTTTTTCCATATATTTCAACAATAATTTCTGGCATAGGTGTGAAGGGACAAGTATCTTATCCACTTAATGTTTCACAAGATACCTTCTCCATTTTTTTGATTCTTTGCATGTAGATATACCTAGGTACAGAATAAGTTGTTTGGGCAGATAAACATCACTTCACTGTTAGTTAAGGAAGGAAAGAAGTTACGGTGACGAATTGTCCAATCAGTCATTTCCTGTGTCATAATATTTTGGTATTAGATGGGGTACAAGGCTCTGATACCTGGACATGCAACTGCATCCAAGGCCTTAACTCGATTCCATGAAACTTAGGCCTCGTTTGGGAACTACATGTTTTAGCCAAAAAGTCTGCACATCTGTTCGTAAAAAGCCAAAAAGTTACTAAAATAGCTTATTTCCAAACGAGGCCTTAGAGAGGGTTTTGGGCTACTGTACTGAGTGGCGTCCTGTCACTTTTGTGCAATATTTTGGAACATTGATACCTCCATGTTGTAGTTTCTGTAGCATTTTTATTGGCCTCACACTGGTAATTGATATTGCTTATTGGATTATTTCCCTCTGCTAAATTTCTTTTGCCCTTAATTCTAGATATCTTGCCCTTTGATAATCTGTTAGTTTCTTCCTTCCCTATTGGCACATATTATGTGAATGCAGAGCAAAAAACCGTGGTGATGCTGGAGACATGAATCGCATAGTTACATTATTTATCCAACTTGCCACGCGATTGGAAAATAGTTCTAAGCCTTCTTATGAAAGAGATGAAATGATGAAGAATTGGAAAGATGATTCACCTGCAGGGTTTTCCCCCGCTACCTCAAAGTATAAGAAGAAGCTCAATAAAGTGACAGAGAGGAAAATGAGAAGTAATGGCACCTCCTTCATTAGTGGTGGTTCTGATTATGGAGATTATGCATCTGATCGAGAAATCAGAAGGCGTTTATCCAGGTTGAATAAAAAATCTATGGATTCGGGAAGTGAGACATCTGATGAACGTGACGGATCTTCTGAAGAAACAAAGACTGATAGTGAAAGTACTGCATCAGACACAGAAAGTGACTCGGATTTCCAATCAGAAATTGGAATTGGGGTGTCAAAAGGAGATGGATACTCAATTGCAGATGATGGCTTTGATTCTCTGACTGATGAACGTGAATGGGGTGCTCGAATGACCAAAGCAAGCCTTGTTCCTCCTGTTACTAGGAAATATGAAGTAATTGATCAGTATGTTATTGTAGCAGATGAGGAGGAAGTGAAACGGAAGATGCGGGTTTCCTTACCTGATGACTATGCTGAAAAGCTCAGTGCTCAGAGAAATGGCACTGAGGAGTCTGATATGGAGATTCCTGAAGTTAAGGACTATAAACCTAGAAAACAGCTTGGAGTTGAGGTGATAGAACAAGAAGTTTATGGCATAGATCCTTACACTTATAATCTTATACTTGATTCTATGCCTGAGGGAACGGATTGGACTCTTCAGGATAAGCATTTGTTTATTGAAGATGTTCTCCTTCGTACTCTGAATAAGCAAGTTCGGAACTTTACAGGCACCAGCAACACTCCTATGATGTATCCTTTACAGCCAGTTGTTAAGGAGATCCTAAAAACTGCTGAGGAAGATATTGATATACGTTTTTGTGAATGTATCCTGAAGGCCATTGATAGTCGTCCTGAGGACAATTACGTGTCTTATAGAAAGGTATGCATTATTGTTTTCTTGTTTTCTTTCTCTCTCTGAAGGTGACCTTTTTTTCGGTTATAGTGCTGTTTTAATTGTCAATTGGGATGTGTCGATCAGGGGCTTGGTGTTGTTTGCAATAAAGAAGGTGGCTTCAGCGAAGATGATTTTGTTGTGGAGTTTTTGGGCGAGGTATGGATGCATATTTTGTTCATTACTATGTATTCTGGGGGTGTTTTCAATGATGTAAATTACTGATGCCAACCTCGTTGTTGTGGAGTTCAACAATAGTTGTATGTCTAAATAATTAAAAAAATGAAGGTAATTCTTACAAACTGTTGATCGATACTCCTCTCTCTCTCTCTCTGCACTGTCTTTTGGAGTAACTCTAGGCCTTGCGCATTGTTTTCTTATATGCTTCATGGTGTGTCTATATGATAATTTTTTTATCATATTTTTCAGAGTCATGCTGTGTCTGAGTTCAGGTTCAGGTTGTTGATCCTTTGTTGTCTAATTTGTCTTCAGGCTTGTTATGTTTAAGAAAATGAAAATGCTATACATATACACAAATGTTATGAACAAATTTTTCTCCCATATGTTTGTTATGCAGCAATAAAGCTTTGATATTTGAAGTTGAACACACTAAAAAATGATAGGAGCAACCTTTGTTTGTAAGTCAAATTTGTAAATTTGTTTGTTTCTATGGCATTACTCTTCTAGGAGAAAGGAAAAACTAATTAGTTATTTTTGAGTATCTGGGAATGCATGCTGTTGGTGGTATCTGCTAATGTTTCTAATGTCATTATCATATTCTGACAACTTATCCAGTTCTCATCAATATGTATTTCTGTTTTACCATGATTGCATGTTAAGATTGTTAATTTTTACTGCACACTTTATGTAACTGAGCTTTTGCTGTATAGAATGATACTTGTTGCTTAAATTGATTTTCTATGACACGGTGAGCAGTCAGAGTGCAGTTTTTTTTTTTCTTGGATATGCTATGGAGAAATATTATTGAACAGAGTAAGACAAGAAACACAGAAGAAAAACGGAGGACAATGAATCCACCAAAAAGAAATGTGGAGAGCAAATTACAAATAACAAATAACAAATGGCTCTCCAATCTCTAGAAATAAAACGCAAAGGTATCCTTTTGAAAGGAGATGACATCAAGGCCCAAAACAAAGATAAATGGCACTGGGAGTGCAGTCCACATGTAGTTTTGGGAATATGATACATTTTCTTAGTTTCAAAACTAGTTTTTTCACAATATTTTCCATGTATTTTCTTATGCTTTATCCTATTACCCTAGAGGAGATTTGTATAACTTTGATGGAGCCATTTTCATTCTTTTATTATTATTATTTTTGTAGAACAAATATGGATTGAATTGCATTCACATATCTTCTAACTGGAGCTGGTTGCTTTGTACTAGAGTTCCTTAAAAAGTTTTATGATGCTGAAACTTTTGTTAAGGTCTTTTTTTCTCTCTCTCTCTCTCTCTCTCTCTTTTTTTTTTTTATATTTATTTTCCTTTTTATGGTTATAGGTTTATCCTGCTTGGAAATGGTTTGAGAAGCAAGATGGGATTCGTTCTTTGCAAAAAAATTCTAAAGATCCAGCGCCAGAGTTCTACAACATTTATCTTGAGCGGCCAAAGGTGCACTTTATGCTTTTCTTGAACAAATTTTGTGCTTGAGTTGTTACGACCTTGTGTTTCTTCTTGATTGTTTGAACTTGTTCATTTGATTGTGTGCTCTTATTTGCCAGGGTGATGCTGATGGGTATGATTTAGTTGTTGTTGATGCGATGCACAAAGCAAACTACGCAAGTCGAATTTGTCATTCATGTCGCCCTAATTGTGAAGCAAAGTAAGTGATATATACTTGTATTCATGTCCCCTCTCTGTGAAATGCATGGCTGTATGATTGCTTATCCACGAATTTTTGATGTTGTTTTTTGTTGCACACATTATTAGAAAGTGTATCTCCAAAGAGGAAAAATACAAAATTTTAAAAGTAACTATTCAACTTATCAATAGTGAGCATGTATATATTGTTACTTAAAATGAACTTGAAGTTTTGTCTCCAATTACACCCATTAAAAGCCGGTCTAAACCTGTCCAAATTCATAAATGGGTTGCATCTTACAAACCCAATTAAAATTGGGCTTAAATGGGTTGGACATGGTATCCGTTTAAACCATTTAAACGGATACCACTTCCTCCACCACACCAACACTATCATCTCCATTACAACTCCACCACCACTGTCGCTGCCACTCCACCAGCACCAGCACCACCACCCAGGGCCGGCCCTGTGTGTCCGGAGGCCTAACGTGAAATAATTTTTTTGGGGCCTTTTTAGATATTTATAAAAAATAAATGTTAAAATCCACCTACTCTCCACCTACTTCACCCACTTAAACCTACTCCACTAAACCTAACCCACTACACCACTACCACCTCACCTACTCCACTAAACCTAACCCACTACTCCACTACACACTCCACTTCACCTAACCCACTATCACCTCCACTACACCTACTACCACATTTTCTTCTATATATAGATTGTATAGGAATCTTGTAATCAATAAATCAATATATCAATCAATAATAATACATACAATTTATTCTCTCTCTTTCTCTATACATTATTTCTTACAATAAATATAAAAATCACTCTGTTTGGTTTAGAGTTTTTAAAAATAATTGTCTGAGTTTACAATTCGTATTTTTTTTTTATATTTTTTGGTATTTGGTAACATTTTTTTAAAAAAATATAAATATTATAGTTTTTAAGCGTATCTAAATTAGATGTATCTACAAAATAAATAAATAAAAATTGTGTCCAGGGCCGGCCCTGAGTGTCCGGAGGCCTAACGTGAAATAATTTTTTGGGGCCTTTTTAGATATTTATAAAAAATAAATATAAAAATCACTCTGTTTGGTTTAGAGTTTTTAAAAATAATTGTCTGAGTTTACAATTCGTATTTTTTTTTTATATTTTTTGGTATTTGGTAACATTTTTTTAAAAAAATATAAATATTATAGTTTTTAAGCGTATCTAAATTAGATGTATCTACAAAATAAATAAATAAAAATTGTGTAAAATAGTTTTTTAAAAAAATACTAAAGAACACATAATTGGGCCATAAAGAAAGAAAAAAAATAGGCCATACAAAATTAGACTAATGACTAATACATATACATATATTTTATATTTTATTTTTTTAATTGGACTAACGACTAAAACTTATAAATATTTTTTAATTGGGCCAAATAGATTTTTTGAGGCCCTCTTGAGAATGGCCTAAATTAATTAAACAGAATTGGGCCATTTTAAGTTTTTAATATAGTGCAAGACTAAATTTGGGGCCCTTTTTTTGGGCCTAATTTTTGGGGCCCTAGGCACAAGCCTTACCAGCTTTACCCAGGGCTGGCCCTGCCACCACCAACACCACCATTGCTGCTGCCACCGCTACTCCACCTCCACCAGAAGCACCAACACCGGCACCGGCACCGGCACCATATAGTCTGAGAATAGCTTGAGAACCTGAAGACAAACCCAGTAAATCCTATAATGAAGCAGAGGATCGAGAAAGAAGTAGAGGGAGAGCAACCTTAAGGAATGTAGAACACCCAATCAATTAGCTCGGAGAATAACATCCTCTATGTTCTTGATGATTTAATCTGGAGCTTGCATTTCCATTTTTTCATTGTTCATTTTTGTTGTAATCAAGGTTCTGAAAAGCGGTTGCGGTTGCGGTCGCTGTAACGGTGGCGCGGTTGTGGTTGCGGGGTGTAAAGGCCGTAGCGTAACGGTTGCGGTAAACGGAACCGTGATTTTTTTTATTTTTTGCACAATTTGAAAAAAATTTACCGATACACATTTTTTTCCCATGATCATATTTATTGGGTTTTAAATAAATATTGATCAATTTTTATAAATTTTTAAGTTTGATCCAATATATTTCATATTTTTAAATCATTATAAACTGAGTTTTTTACATTTTATTTTAATAATTAATGACTTTATATTATATAAAAAATCAATCACTAACTATTATATATAAGATAAATAATGAAAAAAGTAAGAGAATAAATAAAAGCTTAAATATATATATATATATATTTAAGCTTTTATTTATTCTCTTACTTTTTTCATTATTTATCTTATATATAATAGTTAGTGATTGATTTTTTATATAATATAAAGTCATTAATTATTAAAATAAAATGTAAAAAACTCAGTTTATAGTGATTTAAAAATATGAAATATATTGGATCAAACTTAAAAATTTATAAAAATTGATCAATATTTATTTAAAACCCAATAAATATGATCATGGGAAAAAAATGTGTATCGGTAAATTTTTTTCAAATTGTGCAAAAAATAAAAAAAATCACGGTTCCGTTTACCGCAACCGTTGTTACGTAACGGTGTGTAACAGGCCGTTACGGCTGTTACGGCACCATTACGACCGCTACGGCCGACACACTTGTGAATTTCAATCACACTACAAAAGCGGCCGTAACGGGTGGCGGTAACTACCACGACCGTTACGTAACGGTTGAGGCCGCTTTTTAAAACCTTGGCTGTAATATTCTCAAAAAGTAAAAATAACAAGAAGTTCGCAAAGATTAATTATTTTTATATTATTATTATTTATATGAAAATCTTTTTAAAAAAATCAAAATAAGTTGTTTTTTTTTTCAATTTTTTTTATGATTTAAAATTCACTGAATAAATTTGTTGTAATTTTTGAAATAAAAATTAATGAAGTAAATGGGTTGTTCATGTTCATTTGTTCAGTCCAAAGCAACCCGTTTAAGTCTGTTTATTATATGGGCGGGTTTGGGCTGAGTTGTTTTAAATGCATAACCTATTTTGACTGGCCTAAACCTGCCTGTTTGCCTCCTCTAATATGTAATCGGTTGTACACTACTTGAAAATGACTCTTCTGCATGGAAACAAAATGTTCTTGGAAATTCTTGCTCCCATTGGACCATTTGTGTGTTGAATAGCATTAAAACATCATCTTTGAGTTCGTGTTGTGGGTGGCTAAAAAGCATGGACACTTCTAAAAAGGTGGCGTGTTCATGTTGGACACTTCGTGACACGTGTCGGACACTCATCCAAATGTGTCTTAGTTTTTTTTAAAAAAAATTTAGTCCCATACACTCTTGGGACACTTAGAGGACATGCGTTTTCATTCTTTAAAAACACGTGTTCATTGATTAGACACATGAAACTAATTATAAGTTTAAACAAAATAACTTAGAATATGATGATAAAAAGAAAAACAATGTCAATTTATAGAAATTAGTGTTATATTATATTTGTTTATTATCTTGGAATGATATATTCATATATATATGACATATAACAAATATATAAAATTTTATATTTTGTGCGCACATGCCGTGTTCTGTATTTTTTGAAAATTTCCGTGTCAGTGATTCTTAGTATGTGTATGCTTTTGTTGGTATTCAGAAAATTTATACAGGTAGCCTCTAGGAGAGATAAAAACTAAAAATTGGTTAGCAAATTGAATCTCTTGAATTTTTCATTTTTGTGTCTTGGAATTTTGTTGATTTTGTGATTATTTGAAGCTATGAATTATAGCTATTATTGTCAAATCACAAATGGAATTGTGAATCTTATTGCTAAAATAGTTAATCGTGAATAGTAAGATTCATTTCATTTATTATGATTATATGATATATATAATTTTATATATTTATCTACATATTTAGTAGAGAGTTTTCATTGAATAGTACATAACATAATTATGGAAATAATCCAAAATTTGTATTATATAAATTACTCAACATCATCCATTGCCTTTCGAAGAGAAATGGGAAATGTTGTTTGAAGCCAATTATGTACATAAATCAAATGGATAAACTATGTGTCCTGTACTAAAGGCCAACTCAGAAGCAATGAAGTCAATTCTGTGCACAAATCAGAATCTCTAGCATCATGGGAGATATGAATTACGGAATGGATCAAGTATGTGTCTTCCCATACAAAAGGCTGACTTAGAAACAACTGTTATAGATGGGTATTGTCAAGACATCATGTGCTACTTGGGACCACACTCTTTACTTTGAAGAATTGACCTTCCATGATCCCAATATATCAAAATTCTCTTCATTAGAAGCTTCACACAAGTCTGCTATGTATTTATCTTCTTCAGACTTATACATGCTAGTATATTTCTCCTCCAAATAAAATCTAAATTGAGAAGCAATTAGTAGACGTAGATTATCACAATCATCATCCACCTTCGTCCCAGAAGCTTCACTCAAATTAGACATTTGGACACTTTTTGAATCATCCGCCTGTCATCTCACTCACCACTTTTTCAACTAATTGTAAGAAACAAAATTTCAAACATTTAAATTTCTTTAGGGGATCAAGAACCATAACAACATAAACAAGTAGATTGATTTTCTCCCTATTCCTCCAATACTTGTCAAATTTTGCTTTCATATTTTGTGCTATTGTAGACAGAAGCTTGTTGCCCTTTTTGGTTAATTGCTCTATCTTGGTTTGAGTGACAAACATCTTATCAAAGAAGTAATTAGAAGTAACAAAAAGAGACCCGAAAACCATTTAGTTGTATTGTATAATTGTTTCAAGAACTTGCAAAAAAAAAAAAAAATCCTGCAATTATTCCAATCTCATTGTTGGGGCTCTCCTTGACTTCTTCCTCCCACTTTTCCCATCCTCATCTCCATCCCCACCGTCACCCCTAGTCTGTTTGATGGATTTATGTTTGTTTGTTTGTTTGCTGCTTCTTCTTTTTTTATTTTTTTATTTTTTTTTAACAAGTTTGCTCTATATCATTTGATAAAATTTTCCCTTCATGATTGACTAGTTGTGGTTGTCTGAATGTTGCATACTCATTCCTCCTTTCTGTGAAAGCAGAGTTACTGCTGTTGATGGTCAGTACCAGATTGGAATCTATGCAGTACGCCCCCCACCGTCACCCCTATTCTGTTTGATGGATTTATGTTTGTTTGTTTGTTTGTTTGTTTGTTTGCTGCTTCTTCTTCTTTTTTTTTTTATATTTTTTTTTAACAAGTTTGCTCTATATCATTTGATAAAATTTTCCCTTCATGATTGACTAGTTGTGGTTGTCTGAATGTTGCATACTCATTCCTCCTTTCTGTGAAAGCAGAGTTACTGCTGTTGATGGTCAGTACCAGATTGGAATCTATGCAGTACGCCCAATTGAATATGGTGAAGAGATCACATTTGATTATAATTCTGTTACGGAGGTGTGTGTTTTGAGCTTGTTAAGCTTTTATTTTTATTTCTATTCTGGGTGATAATTTATGTGATTGTTAATAGAAACTATTATAATATTGCTGGCAATGTATGTCTGCTTATTATGCTGCAGAGTAAAGAAGAATATGAAGCATCAGTTTGTTTATGTGGGAGCCAAGTTTGCCGTGGGAGCTACTTGAATCTGACGGGTGAAGGAGCCTTTCAGAAGGTACAGGCTTGAATATGATTTTCTTAATTGTAATTTCCAAATCTGAATATCACATCAAGTTTTGTCAACTGGACAAAACAAAAGCAAAAGGAAAGGAAAAGAAAGTTTTAGTTGGTCCCGTGGAGTTTGGGGTTCAACCGGCCTTGTAAAAGGGGCTTGCTTCATTAGCATTCTGGCTGTTGTAAGCTCATTCCATTTTTGGAGGATTCGCTCCTTGTTCCTGTGGCTGATGAGCTTCAAGCTCTGCCTCCCTTACTCAACTCTTAATCTATAATAAATTCCTTTCCCCTTTCTGAAATAACACGGCAAGCTTCAGAACCAGTGGTATTGCACAATCCTATCTTTCCTTAAAGTAAGCTCAGAGTGGGAGCAGTTTCTACAGCAAACCATCCATGTTTATTTACTTTTAGTATTTTCATGTGGTGGTAAATGTGGTTATTCCTTTCCTATTGAAATTAAGTCAGTTATATTTTCATTTAACTTTATTCTAATATTCACTAGGTGCTGAAGGATTGGCATGGAATACTGGATCGACATCACTTGTTGCTAGGGGCTTGTGAATTAAATTTTGTATCTGAAGAAGATTATATTGACTTGGGTAGGGCTGGTTTGGGAAGTTGTTTACTTGGGGGATTGCCGGGTTGGCTGATTGCTTACTCAGCTCGTCTGGTATATATCTATGCTATATCTAGCTTGCAATTATGGGGTTAGCCTTTTAAAAGATTCTATTCATCTGAAACATTCATCTTATGTGAAGGTGAGATTTATCAATTTTGAACGAACTAAGCTTCCTGAGGAGATTTTGAAGCATAATTTGGAAGAAAAGAGGAAATACTTTGCAGATATCTCCATTGAGGTTGAAAAAAGTGATGCTGAGGTCCAGGTGAATCTTACTGACAGCACCCCGTCCCTTCCAACAACACACATACCCACTAAGTTCTCCCTTAGTCTTTGTTTTCCATGTGAACTTAGGATTAGAGTAATATATTGAGAGGTATTCTTGCTGTTAACTATTGTTGATATTTATTCCTTTTGTTTTTGTATGAGACAGGCAGAGGGAGTCTACAACCAAAGGCTTCAGAATTTGGCTCTTACTCTTGACAAGGTATGTTGTTTTTAAATACATTTATGTTTCATAAGAATGGGAGCATGTTTGTTATTGAGTTTCAGACACTAAATGTGACTACTTAAAAACATCATATCTGAATGAATGATATATGAACTATCAAAGATGGTGCCTGTGTAAATGAACCATAATTTCAACACTAGGAGTTGGGTCCTTCCAGTCCAGATGGTGAATTAGTTGAAAATTAATTATGCATTTTACTTTTGTTTATTATTAGTTGGCACCGAGTGATCTTGAGACAAATTTTCATTCATGTCTCCATGAGATATAAGCGCTGTTTGGGAAGGAGGATTTTTGGTTTTTTTTCACTAAAAGACAAATTGGTTACAAAACCAAAAAAAACAAATCCAAACAAAATATCACATTAAACCCATAATCATTTCACTTTTTCTTTCACAGACATCACATTCAACCCCCAAAAAACCCAACTATCTTCCCAAACACAATTTTTTTTCTCCAATAATATCTTACAACTAAAAAAACCCACTTCCCAAACACCCACATAGTAGGCTGATTGAGGTCTCGGTGCTCGGATTAGAGGTTTTCAGTATAAGAGATGAAAAGCAGTCGTGATTTTATATTTTTTACATTTTGAATGCCTTTTACAGGTGAGGGACCGAGTGATCTTGAGACAAATTTTCATTCATGTCTCCATGAGATATAAGCGCTGTTTGGGAAGGAGGATTTTTGGTTTTTTTTCACTAAAAGACAAATTGGTTACAAAACCAAAAAAAACAAATCCAAACAAAATATCACATCAAACCCCATAATCATTTCACTTTTTCTTTCACAGACATCACATTCAACCCCCAAAAAACCCAACTATCTTCCCAAACACAATTTTTTTTTTCTCCAATAATATCTTACAACTAAAAATCCCACTTCCCAAACACCCACATAGTAGGCTGATTGAGGTCTCGGTGCTCGGATTAGAGGTTTTCAGTATAAGAGATGAAAAGCAGTTGTGATTTTATATTTTTTACATTTTGAATGCCTTTTACAGGTGAGATATGTCATGAGATGTGTTTTTGGTGACCCAAAGAAAGCTCCGCCACCTCTGGAGAGGTTGAGTCCTGAAGCAGCAGTGTCCTTTCTCTGGAAAGCGGAGGGATCACTTGTAGACGAACTTATTCAGTGCATGGCACCTCATATGGATGATAGCATGCTAAATGACCTTAAGTCCAAGATTCGTGCTCATGATCCATCTGGTTCTGATGACATCCAGAAGGAGCTTCGGGGATCTTTAATATGGTGAGTTTCGTGCACTCTTAATTCATGTTAGTATATCTACTTGGTGGAACAAGCAAATCTCATGGACCTTGTTCATTCTTGTTTCAGGCTGAGGGATGAAGTACGAAATCTTCCATGTACATATAAGTGTAGGCATGATGCTGCTGCTGATCTGATTCACATATATGCTCATACAAAGTGCTTCTTTAGAGTAAAGGTGGGCCTTATCATAATACTTTTTTTCTTCTTCTTCTTTTTTGGTTTGGAAATTCGAGTAACTTAAAGTTGTAATTGTTTGGCCCTTCTTGGCTTAAATCAGATTTTACTTTTGCCTGCAGGAATACACGGCTGTAACTTCCCCACCTGTTTCCATTAGTCCTCTAGACCTGGGCCCCAAGTACACTGATAAATTGGGGTCAGGTTTCCAGGAGTATCGCAAGAATTACGGTGAAAATTATTGTTTAGGGCAGCTGATTTATTGGCATAACCAGACTAGTGCTGCTGAGCCAGATTCTAGCCTAGCCAGAGCGATTAGGGGTTGTCTGTCGTTACCTGACATTGGTTCCTTCTATGCCAAGGTCCAGAAGCCATCTCGACATCGTGTTTATGGCCCAAGGACTGTAAAATTCATGTTGGCAAGGATGGTAAGCTTTATTTTTGTTTGCTTTGTCATTATTTGTTTATGTTTTTGGAATACAAGTTGACTTAATCCATTTGTGATATTCTGTAGTAGTAGATCCCTAACATCTTCTTTAGTAGTAGATCCCGAACACCGAGCTTTATCATATTGGTAATTTTTCTTTTAAAATTCCACTGTAGTGTTGCTTATGATTGGCTTCCTTGTAATATAAATACTGTAACTGGCATTAACCGGTCTAATTATGCCCTGGGCAGTCAAATTTGTTCCATAAATTGTAATAAAACATATTAGCGTTAACCTCTTGACTCACTCTACAATGGAAACTCCTAAAATATTTTATGTAATAAATGTTTCTAAACTCTTTATTAGAGAATAGTTGAATTGCTCGAGAACCCTACAGGAATACTAAACTGACGACCTGATTGTATTGCAAATTACTAATGAATTTAAATGTGCCAAAGGCATAAATTAATGTGAGAAAAAAAAAAAAATTTCTGCTAGTTATGGTGGATGGTTGTTGAATATTTTTAGTAATTTAAAACAAGGAGAGCTTTAAGTTGGTTGTGGCATTATGCAACCATGGCAAAGCCAACCCAGGATGGTCATGATGGCATCTGGATGGATGGAGTTGGTTTAGGGTTCATTTTGTACAATGGGCCAAAAGATGAATCAGGTAGTTTGAGGCACCCTTAAGATTGGAGGATCAAATTGCACCAGTGGGGTCATTTTGTAGTTGTTATTGCCTTCCTTCATGTATATTTTGATTATCCAGCAGCTCATGTCCTTGAGACAAACTAGTTTCTTAACTGGTCCATTTCTGTTGTTTCACCAGGAAAAGCAGCCCCAGAGACCATGGCCCAAGGACCGGATATGGTCCTTCAAGAATTCGCCTAAAATATTTGGCAGTCCAATGCTAGATGCTGTTTTGCATAATTCTCCACTAGAGAGGGATTTGGTACATTGGTTGAAGCACAGACCGGCCATTTTTCAGGCCATGTGGGATAGATGAACTTTAACAGGTTAGCAGATTAGCAAAGCATTGTGGAAGCAGCAATGGGTGTTTATCAATCCCGTTATTCAGGATGATTCTTCCATTTTAGTTATAGTTCCCCTTTTGTGTGGGAGTGTAGGCAATCATTCACAGAATCAAAAACATTCCTTGTGCTGCTGTGTCTTCATTCTTGTGTACAGTTTCAATAGGTTCTCAATATATTTGTTTTTTAATTTTTTTTTCTTCTTTTTTTTTTTGTAATTTGAAATTCATTATTGGTAGTAGTGCAGTTTTTTTTTATATTTTTCTTTTCCCCTAAATTTAAGGGAAAAAGGTGAAAGGAAGAAAATATTTCAAGATAGCTTACCATCTTTTCATTATTCTTGTCGTTTCACAGCGTTCAAACTTTCTTTTCCGGCTATTGGAATGTCAGCACTTCTTTCTCGTCACGATTGTAACTTTTTGGGAGAGGCATGTAGTTTGATGAGCTACATTGTGTAGATTAGGGCCTGTGTGAAGTTTTGGGTTGAAACTAAACTTCGACATAGACTCTATTAGCTCTTACTGTGCCAGAAGATATTTGAATTATCTTTGTGATTTCTTCCTCGAGCACTTGGATAGTCTGTATTTTCTTAATGATTGTTTCACGATTGCTGAATGGTTTGTGATTGAAGGTTGCGAGTTTTGGTGTGGGCATTGGCCTGTTTGGCGCTGGAATGGTTGGTCTCTGGCCATCTTTTGTAAGAGGCTATATAGTATTTTCTTAATAATACAGTGCACTAGTGCATTGTGGAGAGGGATTTTTTTTTTTCTTAAAAAAATAAGCAGTTTAAAGTAATTGTGGGACTTTTTTTCTTTCTTTTTTTCTTTTCTGTTTTTCCACAAATTAATGAATGCCAAATTGGAGTTTATATCTGTTAAAAAAAGACTCAATGCATGATGATTCTGTTAAAATGGGGTTTTGTAAGTGTCGGGTGAATGCCAGCCTTATGTGTTTTTGGCAAGGTTGTTTATACTCTTTTTAGATTCTGTAGTTATTATGAGAGTCTTATGCACTGGGTTGTCCTCTGGACTCTATTTGACACAAAATTGATGGGTGTAAAATTGGATATTTAGGAAAACTTTTTATGAAGCATGCATGGAGATGTCTGAAACTTTGTCACTCATTTTGTGTTTGGTATTTTTGTTATTTTATGAAATAATATTAGATGTGAAGAATAGTTGAATTCAAAGTGAAATAATATTCTTAAAATTTATTTATTTTTTTTATTTAGGATTTAGGGAAAAAAATTATTTATTTTTATTTTAAAGTTTAGGGTTTAATTCTTAAATTTTTATTTTATTTTATTTTAGAATTTAGGGTTTAGGGTTTAATTCTTAAATTTTTTTTATTTTTTTATTTTAGGGTTTAGGATTTAGTGTTTAATTTTTAAAATTTATTTATTTTTATTTTAGGGTTTAGGTTTAATTCTTAAAATTTATTTATTTATTTATTTTAAGATTTAGAGTTTAGGGTTTAATTTTTAAAATTTTTTAATTTTTTAATTTTAGGATTTAGGATTTAGGTTTAATTCTTAAAACTTATTTTTTTTATTTTAGGATTTGTGATTTATGGTTTAGTGTAAAGTGTAATTTATCATGTTAAAAAACATAGTGAGAACATGAAAAAAAAAGAAAAAAATGTGTCGTTTTACGACACAGCAGGAACATAACAGGGAGGGGACACAGCAGTGACCCCGTGTCCCGTTACTCCCTCCGTCCCAAAATATTAGTCTCTTATTCTATTTTTCATTGTCCCAAAATATTAGTCCCTCTTCAAAAATCAAGTACAAAAATAATATAAATTTCCTATTTTGCCCTTCTTTTAAATTAATAAACAATATAAAAAGTACAATACTGACATTGATATTTCCAAAACATGTACTATCAAAAGGATAATTTTGAAAAATTAACTTTTTTCAAATGCAATAATTGTACTATCAAAAAAAGTTGAATTCCCTAAAAGGGATCATTATTTTGGGACGGAGGGAGTATTAGAAATGGTTGTATTTTATTCATTTAGGCTGCGTTGCAGCATGGATGGACATTGATCTCGAGCTATGGTGGTTAATTGAGAGGTGAGGATTTAATCATAGTTTGCATGGGACGGGGTGATGAATGCGTTTGTTGGCTGCAGTTTCTTGAAAATTAAGGGCAAATTGTAATGCAGTGGGACAGTGAAATTTTATTTTTTATTGTTATTGTATATTTGTATTTTTATAGTGATGCAAATGTCTTGTGTGTGTGCGCGCATAGTTTATTTTTTTTTTTAATGTTTTGTGTAAGTCCTTGTACGCTAGAGCTTCATAACAAAATTTATCATTTATAGTGATTATTTTTTCTTTTTTATTATTCTACTCATTTGTAATTTTCTCAAAAGTCAAAGTCAAAATAAGACAAAAAGCTTGTTTCCTATGTGTATCGGATTGACATGACGATGAACACAAATATGCAATGATGGCTAATAGCAAGTGAACTTTTGGAATGATAGTGTTTAATGAGAAAAGTTATGATTCATGCAATTTTTTTTATAAAAATGATGATGAATGATTTATGATTTGTGGATTATCTTGATTAGTGTGCAGTACTTTATTTTAAGTGTAATTTAAAGATCACAAAATTTTTATAATTATTTTCATGAAAGATTTTTCATAATATCTAACATTGCTGGTGTTTAATATATTAGGAAGTGTATGCTCATTTTGAAGGGTAATTTCGTAATTTTAACACAACTTTGTCTGATTAATCCACGGCCAAAAACACCTCATCCAACCGTACTACTACTAACCCTACTGGCACGTGTAAAATCCACCCCCCCAAACACCATCATTCCTTTTGCTTATTATAATTCTAATCCCCAAAATCCCCCTCACTGTTTTACAAAATAACCCCACTCTTCATCAGGGCACATCTGTTATTTCACTAATCTTTCTGTCCAAATTCAAACAGTAATATTAGGCATTATGAAAAATCTTTCAGAAAAATAATCATAAAAATTTTATGACTTTTAAATTACATTTAGAATAAAACAACAAACACTAATAAAAAATAATTCAAAAACAAAAATCATAAATCTTTCATGATCATTTTTATGGTCTTAATTTTTTTTAAATTCAAAACCATCACCACCACCGCCACCATCTATAACAACTTCAGTAATCGGACAGTCCAAAACCCCCAACCACGAGCCGAACACACGCCAAAAAACACACACACCCCCAAACCCATCAAACCACCCCGTCCGATCAAACTCCCCCTCCATCAACAATCAACGGTCATAAATCGCTATCTCAAAATTCCAAAATGTACCAAAATCAGCCAAGTACTACTTTCCCAGCCACCTGAAACCCCCCAGAAAAAAACATATAAAGAGACCCCAAAAAAATAAAAAAAAGGTATGACACCGCCACCTGTCGGTTACTCCACTACACTCCCTCTCCTCCTCCTTTTGTACCACCCAATCGTCGTCGACCCTCCACTCCAAACGATTCAGGTGTATGTGTACAACCCTATAAGTACACGCCACGTGTATTCCCCTCCCTCCACCCCCCGTAACGTCTCTAACAAAAATTATACCATCGCCGCCTCATTGCCTCTCTCTCTAGAATTGCTTTATTAGGAGTGTCTCTCTCTCTCTCTCTCTCTCTCTGGCTCTGGCTGTAGCTTTTTGTATCGTATTGAGTTTGAGAATGGAGCGAGGAGGATATCAAGCAATGCTTATGGGAGGCGAAGAAGGCTCTGATTCTGGACCTTACTCTCCTCCTTCCTTCATCACCGACGATTCTTCTATCAACGCCTTCTTTTCAGCTATGGATCCTCCTCACTCCTTTCTTCATTCTCTCCACTACGCTTATGGACCTTTTCCGCCCACTCCCTCCTCGCTCGTCAGTCCCCCGACTTCTGGTTTCCTAACTCATCAAGATATCATTGCCAGACAGACTGAGGAGGAGGTCAGTCCTGATCGGAAACTCAAAATGCCCAAAATTGAAGCTTCAAACCTCAACGTAGAGGTCACTGATAATGATGTATCGACCGAGCCTTTCAATTTCTTGTCCAAGACCTCTGATTCGGTTTCTAGACTCTGTGATTTGAGGTTTCAGCAACTTCCGGATCTCCGGTCTCTCGAGCAGGTTCATCACTGCTTCGGATTTGCAGAGTCTTCGTCTCGGAAACGAACGCTTGAATCAACGGCCAGAAACTTTCAGTTCGGTTTGAATCTGCCGGAGATTCACTCGCCGGCCACGGTGGTGATGCCTCAGAGCACGCTGGCGAGGCAGAGACGACAGAGGATCAGCGAGAAGACTCGGTGCTTGCAGAAGCTTTTGCCGTGGGACAAGAAGATGGATATGGCGACGATGCTCGAGGAGGCGTACAAGTACGTGAAGTTTCTCCAGGCGCAGATTAGCGTCCTCCAATCCATGCCTTGTAATTCGTCGAGTTTCGAAGCTCAAAATCATGGAAATGTGAACGTGATCGGCGGAATGGGGAGGCTGAATAGGCAGCAACTGCTTCAGGTTGTGGTGAACTCTCCCGTGGTTCAGACGATACTCTACTCGCGAGGTTGCTGTGTTTACTCGATGGAACAGTTGGTTCTGATGAAGAAGATCGCTGAGAGGAAGGCAATCTATCAACAGATGGTATTCGATCCTTCAACACTCCCTTGAAATCTCCATGCCTCAGTATAGTTGCTCTCTAATGGATATTTTGATTACTTGAGTTTTTCGAAAACTTGCTTCATATTTGGACGTTTGCATTCGGATTACACATTATAGATATGTTGAAGTCATTTTGTTTTGTTTTTAGCTTTTTGATCTCTGTGTGAAGTGCATGTGTGAGTGAGAGTGTGTTTAAATCAGCCACTGTGCCATAAAAACAGAACAGAAAGAACTAAATGGGACCTGAGATCAATGAAGATATCATCTTACTCACATACTGTCAGGGAAGTGAACTAATCATTGCATATGGATAAAAGTTTGATTCCGAATCTGTATTTAATATTTACAAAATAGTAGCTATGGGTTTTCACTAAGACCAATTTCTGTGGTAAAAGTTGAAATTAATTTTTTAGACTTATGTGTAAAAGTAATATTTTTAATTATGTCACTTCAGTAGTTCCTACTGTATATTATTTTGGCACAATTATCTCATATATTAATTTTTAATCACTCAATTTATTTTTTAGAATGCATGATCATGATTGTCTTTATTGATGTGATAAATTTATTTGATAAAATCAAATTTGTAATCAAAAGTTGACACTACTGAAGCTTTTTACAATATATATTTTAAACAAAAATATAGCCAAAATAACTTCCACATAAAAGATACATCAATTAACAAATAAAATTTCTCTCTTAAAACCACATACAGTGGTGTTGGACATTGAAACGTTTGGGATTTATTTATTTATTTATTTTGTGGAATTGACTCATTTTCAGTTGGTTATCGAATTAGAGAGGGTGTTGTTTGGTGGTTGTGTGCTTTGATTTGGACTTATTTCGATGATCCAAAAAATTTAATTTGTAGAACTTATCGAGTACATTATTCCTATAAAAAATTACGTCGATCAGATATCGATAGACATTTCATTACATCACATTTTTGTCAATGGCATGCAAGATTTTCAAAATAAATTGTGATAGAAATGTAATATGATCAAATGGTTACCGATTATTGTGATTTTTAACAAAGATGATGTACTCGACAGGTTCTATACATTGAGCAGTTTGGATTATAGAGATGGCCCCGGATTATGGCCCCAAATGGCCTAATAGTACCCTCTAGTCCAATAACGGCTCAGAGGGGAGCCAACTCCTTTTTGTGTGTGTGTGTTTTAAAAAATTTAAAAAGTTTAACATGTTTGTAAAGTTATTAATTTTTTAATTTTATTTTTACGAGTAAAAAAATTGATGACATTTAACTTTTTTAAATGATAACAAATAATATAATGATATTTTCGACCCTTTTTAGCCAAAAATATATATATTTTTTAGTTTTTGTGAGACCTCCACAAAAGGGTCCTATTGAATTTAAATAATCCATTTTTATTTTTATTTTTTTGTAGATATTTTATTCTTGACATTTAACACACTTCTAAAACTAGCACACTGAACTCACTAAATTAGTAAATACCTAACAAATAAAATTGGGTCTCATTTTATTTAAGGAAAATGTTTGAGATCTATAAAAAAAAAAAAAATCACAATTCTAGCTATAATGATATATTATGATAGGTGTTAATTTCTGATTTGTTACACATATAATGATTGAGGGTCCAATTCCCTTGCCACATCACTGTGGGTACATTTGAGGGTCAAATGAGTGAGTCTCTAACATTGCTCTTTGTTTAATGGTATACTTTTTTGCACTTTATCAAACGCTTTATTGGACGCTCTCTAAAACTGTATTTGGTTTATAAATTTAGATAGAGATTTAGAAAGGGAAATGAAAAAAGTATTTGAAATGTAAGTGAAATATCATATTACATTCACATTTTACCCACATTTTTTCTTTTCTTTTTTAAATTTTTACCAAAATTAATGAAATAAACACTATAAAGTTATTTCTGTTTGCATGACATTTCATTAGTTAGTATTATCTCTGTGAAGTCATTATTTAGTCTTTTTGGAACTCCCCGTTAAACAGTGTGTTCACTGAATAGTAAAGGACTATATACTTACTTAATAATAACAAAAAAAATATATATATATATATATATAAATAATTACAAAACACTATTGATTAGGTTCACAACCACGTGGGTATTTAGAACTGATATGAGAATTTATGTTGAGTAATGTTAGATTTCATAAAAAAAATATAATGAAAAATTTCATAAAAATTTTTCATTATTACATTACACATATAAAAAATCATAAACTAATTAAAAGATGAAATTTTTTCATAATGTTTTCTTTCCTAAAGCCTAACATTATTCATTTCGGTTTGGTTACTCGCTTTTTAAAGGCTCATGTGCCAATAGAGCCCACAAGGAATACTACTACTATGATCTTTTTATTTGTGAAGTGGGCTTAGTGGCCCAATTCCAACAGACCATCTTCGTTGGTTTAGGCCCACAAATTTGAAATCAAATTGGTGACAACTAATACAATTAGACCAATGTTGGTGCTACGCACATGATCTGGGTGCCTTTCAATTTTTGGGCTGAATATTGCTTGAACTTTCTGTAGGGCACCACAGTTGAAGCCTTGCTAAATAACCTAGGTCGTATTTATTTGGATGGACAGGACCGGATTAGATAAGATTGACGGATTTGGATTCTCAAAATTATGAAGAGTGATTGATAAAATTGTTATCAATTTTTTAATTTAACTTATTAGTCCGAATATTTCCTTAGTCTTTCATTTTGTATTCCACACCTCTTGGGATTTAATCAGGCCCGGCCCTGCAATTTTGGAGGCCCAAAGCTGATAATCAACTAATAAATATCATTAGATCATTTGGGTCCCTTCTCATATTTTTTCTTTTAATTCAACGAAAAAAAAAATTGAAGGTAAAGGACATGATTTGTGTCAAAATCACAAAAAATACTTAGTATTACATTACAACAACTAATCCTCACTCTTCTTGTATTTTTAGAAGTAAATATATCAATCATACTTGCATAATCTAGTCTTTTTCTTTTTTGCAAATCCAAACGAATAATTTCTTTTAAGAGTCCTGATGAACTGAGATCAAGAAACTTTATTAGATCAAAACAAGTATAAGAACACCACAATCACTTAACAAAATACAAAACTTTTAAATTATGTGATGTGAACTATTAAACTTCTAATGTTATAATTATAATAGCACATGTAGCAAAAGATTAACTCTTCTTGATGATGCAGATTTGTATAAATGTCAATATTATAATAGCAATTGAGCAAAAGACAAGACAAATATTTAATTAATTGAATAGAAAAAAGACCTACATGTGTTGTGTTGCTACTCTGAATTCTTAAGAAATTCGTTAGTATTCTGTCGTGCCACTTCTCTCAAATTTTTGGAAAAATTGAATTAAGAGTTAGGGTTAGGAATTAGATAGGGAGAGAGAATGGACCCTTTTAATTTTGAATGAGCCTTTTAATTTTGTAATGGGTCAATTTATTTTAAATTAGATTGGGCCTTCTTTAATTTTTTTAGACTTAAAACATACCTATTATATTACACTAAACTATAATAAGAGAGGCATTTTTTTTAGATCTATTTTGGGGGAGCCTAAGTCATGTCCTGGTGGGCCTATGCCTAGGGCCGGTCCTAGATTCAATGGTACCCTATACAAGGGATACCATGTCCACATAGATTATTAGTCAAGGTCATAATTTTTTTAAACCAAATGTCAGTTTATATATTTTGTTGGATTATTAATCTAATCCTAAGGGAATTTTGATTAACGTTGTTGTTCATAAATTGATAGCTATTATGCGATTGTTGAAACAGATTATTTGAGGAATATAACAATGGGTTTGTCAAGTGTGTGTTGGTCGAGCCCTATCAGCCAACAAACTCGTTACGATCAATCGAACATTGGTACTATACCAATGCTCGAAAATTTTGAAAACCCGAATAGAGACTTGATGAAAGTAGAACATAAAGTCAAATTCAACTACAGTGAGAACGTTGAAATTGATGGTGAGGCCACTGAATTTGTAGTGGCCGAGAAGTTTGGGGAAGACAATGAAGAGGTTCATGCAATGGTGGTCAAAGACTTGGTAGATGAAGATGTGGTGACAAATGCAACAACCACAAGTGTGGATCCACTTTATGTGAAGATGTTAGAGAAGGAAGAAAAAGAGCAGAAAGAGTTTTCGTTAGAGAGGATCATAAATTAGAATCCATGGAGACACTATGTAGTAGTAGCACCTTCAGAAGGAAGAGGTAATTGAATGGAAGAATGAAGCCTTAGTTGATGTTTCGGTTGAACAAAGAAAAGCTACAAGTGCATCATTTGATTTGGTTTGTGAATTACGAACAAAGCAAAATCAAGAGAGCATGTAGTCCGCATAGAATAAACTTTATTGTTTTTCTTTGTGTGGAGTAATTTAATTTGACTTTTAATACTTTCAATATTTTGTTAGTATTGACATGTGATATTATCATTTAATAATAAACTATCACATAGAAGGGTGAATTTTATAATATAAATACAACTATCTTTTCAATTCACCACACTAACTTACCTACCACATATACATTGTAGGATATATCACGCTTATATATTAGATGATAGTTGCATGGTGATACAGAAAATGAGTTGGACCCCCATTGTTTTGTGATTGGATCAATTTTTTTTTTTTTCGTCTGCAAGTCACAGCCACCCACGTGGAGATGGGGGTGCTGGGGTCCCCAGCAGGACTGATGGTGATACCATGTGTCAATATTGAAGTGATATCACCATTATTACAATTTTTTTCTCCTATAATAGGGGAGCTAGACCACCCCTTAACCTCTTAAATAAAAGTAGATAAGAGTGGTCAATTGAGTTAGGCCGGTGGCTCAATTCAACCTATTCAACTTGGTAAGTTATTGTAATTTTCAGAAGAGATAAGTTGAAGGAAAAGTTGTTTGCACTACCTCTAAGATTCTAGAATAATATTACTGTTAGATAATGTCTCAATGGGACCACATAATTAAATGTGGTGTTATCATTTATAAGAAGCCTACAATTTAAGTGATTCAATTTAGTTAATAGGCTTAAGGGTATATGTGTTATGGACCTAATGTGTAGATACTAGTTGTATAATTTCTATTTCTATGAGGGGCAGAAATAGAAATTAAAACATATTGATTAAAGTTGGTTTTCATTACCTTTCAGTTTTAAAACCAATAATGGTTAATTTATTGGTTTTCATTACCTTTCAGTTATGAAAACCAATTACAACCTTTAAAAGGTTATGGTCCCTATTCCTTCCCAAGGTGAAAAAATAAGAATACTGTTTTGTTTTTCTAAATCATCTCAAGGAGAAACATAAGGCACCAAAGGGAAAGGATTAGAAGGCTCTAACAAAGTCAATATTAAGGTTTTATTGACAATCAGACGCTTCCGTTTAACCGTTCATCAATGGATTCAGGTATGTCATTTTGTCTTGATTTCTTGATAATACACATGGTAAATGATCCAAAGTGTAAGGTTTATATTCTGACATTTATGTTAACAATTACCATTACATTTAATATTTATTTCTAAAATAAAGTAATGATGCACTCTTTTTGGACGTGAACTTGTATTTAGATTTGTAGATATGAAATGGAAGAATTTGCTAGTTTTGATATAGGTTTAAAAATTGAATTGAAGAATCTTATTATGTTGAATTATGATAATTTAAAATTTCACATCAAGGATTCTAAATTATCCCCTAATGAAATTCCCTCTTCGACAAGTCTTCTATTTTTTTTTTCTTTTTTAATAACTAACTTTTCTATAATTCATAAAGTTTAATCTCAAATCTCTTAGTTTAAAATCCAAAATCCATCTATGCAAATAAAATTTTACGAGTCATATACTTGCAAAGCTAATATATCAAAAACACTACAAATTTATATTTATGAACTCAAAATTTACTTAGATTGAAGAATTAATGATTCAAATTCTTTATTAATTTAATTTTCACCACACAAATACATTTGCGATGAATTATAAATGGATAAGGGTGGCTCATAATATTTTTACTACTAATATATTGGCCTTTTTTTTTTTTTTTCCTGTAGTTCAAATTTTTCCACAGAGCTAGTATGTGAACACACCGACAGTACACGCGGAATGTCAGATATCTGTCTGTCTCTCTTTATGCACTACCACCGAAATTCCACAACATAGTACTTTTTATTTAAAAAAAAAAAAAAGATTCTTCGGCCTTCCACTTAAGATGTGGTTCCTTCCGACTCCGAGAACTAAGAATTCAAGGGCCTTCTTGTTGTTGGTTTTTTTTATTTAATAATTGGGTGTTGGGATTAACTTATACACATCTCAATTAATTCTCGACTCACGTAAAATGTCCTTTCTACTTGGATCGGACAAATCTAGGACAAAGGTCCCAAGATGTGGACAGATATAGGTGGATTAGTTTTTGGTCAAAAGAACAAAATAATTTGAAAAAAAACTATATTACGTTTACCTGTTTGTCTATTTGTCTGTTTACCTATCTGTCCACATCACCTATATTTCTACTTATAGTGTCATTTATATGTCCACGTGCCATTTGTCTATTTATCCATCTATCCACTTAATTTGTCTATTTATCTATGTCACCACTACTAGTAGTTGAAGTCATTGGCCACCACCGGCGACTTTTTCGGCCTTGGTGGTGGTTTGGCAATAGGCTGGGGTTGGGTCCAGGGGTGATCTAGCCACAGTTGGGGTAAATTTTATTTTTTTTCTTTCAAAATAATAATTTATCATTCTCACTAAATAATTTCATTAATCATTTATAATCTCCACAAAAAATTAATTATTGGACCAAATGCCTTATTTCCTCATAGAAATGAACTTATTACTAGTTATCCCAATTAAAATTGAAGGAGATAATTTTTATGTTATGCTTTTAATTATCAGTTTTCAATTTAAAAAAATTTCATCAAACAAGCGATATAAGGATAGAGCCTGATTAATGTACAACACTTGGACACACCCATGAAGTTGTATGAACTATGAATTTGTGAAGTACCCAAAAAAAATTCTCCTTGAATAAAAAAAAAAACAAAAAAACAAAAAAAAAACACAGTTTTATGAACTATGAAGCTCAAGCAGGGCTATTTAAACAGTAAAATTCAGTCATCGTTTGTTTGTGTGTGATTTATATAATTTGTCTAGATTGTGTTTGATTTTTGAATTTGAGAAGGAAAAGGAAAAAAGAAAAGAAGATAGGTGAAATGTGAATGAAATATATATTCATAAACTTTTTTACCCTCCCATTTCAAATCCCTATCCAAGTTCATGAATTAAACATAATCTTAATATATGTAATTAGGTATTTATTGTATTGATTTTTTTTGATAATTACAATGACGTCCTTAAAACAAGGCTCTAAAGATCAAAACACATAACAATATAAAATTGGAATTAAAAGTAAAAAAATGTAGGATGTTATTGAGATTTTGGACAACATTTTACCCTCTAAACTTGGAAAAGGCTTTAGGTGTTGAGATGGTATCTTGTGGTATTGTTATATACTACTTTCAACTAATCATAAATAATTAACCTTCATATTGTCTCCCAAATATCCAATATAAATGTTACAGATTTACTGTCAAAGAAAGCCAATCAGAAAAAACTAATTACAAATAATTAACTTTTATATTGTCTCCCAAATATCCAATATAAATGTTACAGACCCACTGTCAAAGAAAGCCAATCAAAAAAGAGAACAGGACAGTACTGCATGTCAGTTACCCTAAACTCAGTGAATCATTGAACTTCATTACGACATTAAAAATTCGATTCTCTCCACATATATAAATTTATATTTCTCGTACTTATTTGTAATATTTCTCTCAGACTTTGAGAATTTATATGTAATTAATTTATATTATATTTGATTCTGATTATAACTACACATTTATTTTATTTTATTAGATTGCAATACCCCATAATTGTAAAAAAATATGGACTGAATTATAATTGAGATCTTAAAATAATTAAAAAAATATTCGTGGAAGAAAATGATTTGCAAATACATTAAAGAGTCAAAAAGTCTCTTTTACATATCCCACCGATTCAACTTTGTCCTTGGTATAGATGACTAGGCATGCCCTTCCTTAGCTGGTTTATACTCAATTTTCGTTGATACCCCACCTAAGGAATCCAAAGAGAAGAAAAAAGAAGACCCCGTAAAGCAAATTAAAGTTTCCATTCTTAATTGACAAAAGAAGCTTTTTCTTTGCATTATCTTCATCTTTAATCTCACTTTACATTATCTTCTTCTTTTTTTCAAAAATATTGTACATACACTTTATTCCCTCTTTATATGTCCCCTCACTTTGTTTCACATTGCCCCTTCCCATCTGAATCTTAGTAGAGAGAGAAAGAGAGAGGGGTTTTGAATCTGTACTCAAGCTTTTTCCTTCTTGGCACCAAACTTCAAGATCTTCATATCCTAAAAAATGGCTAGAATAGTTGGTATTCTTGCATGTTTCTTGATTGTTGCGATGGATATCATAGCAGGCATACTTGGAATCAAAGCCGAAGCCGCTCAAAACCAGGTATGTTATTGTGATTTACATAACACATTTTTTTAAAAATGTACTTAAAATTGAAACACATACATGTTTATATGTGTATAATTTGAAACAGGTTAAGCATATGAGGCTATGGTTATTTGAGTGTAAAGACCCAAGCCATGAAGCCTTCATTCTAGGGTTGATTGCAGCCACCCTTCTGGCTCTAGCCCATATTCTTGCCAACTTACTTGGTGGGTGTAGCATTTGCACTCAAGAAGAGCTTTCTAAAGCGTCCCCTAGCAGACAATGTTCACTAGCTTGCCTCCTACTCACATGGTAGGTGAATTTTCTAATCGTAACACTAAAAAACATGTTCAGAATTTAAAATGTATGAATCTAATTCGTTCTAGGCTGATCTACGCCACACAAGTAGTTCAAATCTCTATGTATTTAAATTTGAGATAGCATTCAGCTTGTTTAGTTTGAGTTTTCTGAATTCACTTTTCAAAAAATTGAAATTTTTGTTTTCTATTTTTTATTTGTTTCTACTGAAGTTTTTTAATATTTAAGCAGTTTTTTTTAATTTATTTTAATTTTTAGATATACCTAACATAAATACACTTAAAAAGTATAATATTTGTGAAATTCTTTTTCAAAAAATTCACTAAATATCAAAAATTAAAAAAAAATGAAAATTATTTTTGTGTATTTATTGATTTTTTAAAATAGTTGTTGATAAATATTTAACTTTTTAGATACATTTAAGTTATGTGCATCTAAAAATGTAAAAAAATTACTTAAAATTTTAAAAATATTCACCAAAAATAAAAAATACGAGAGAATAAAAAATTCAATTTAAAAAAAAATTTGAATCTAGAAAATTAAAATCAAACACAATAATTTATGTTTTTAGGCTTGAGTAATGGACTTGATTTGACTTCGTAATTACATGTGATCCCCCAAGGGCTAAATTTGTACATTTTGGTGTTAATTATGATTGATCAGGGTTGCATTTGCAATTGGATTGGGTTTGTTAGTGATTGGGACCATGTCAAACAACAAGTCAAGAGCTTCATGCGGTTTGACACACCATCACTATTTTTCTCTTGGAGGAATTTTATGCTTTGTCCATGCTGGTTTTTCCGTAGGATATTACGTTACTGCCACTGCTGCACAATAAATAATAAGCAATGGATGGAAGTCATCATGTTTGATTTTGATTTTAATTTTTTCAAAACTTAGTATCACTTTTTTATTTATTTTTCTTTAACTTTGGACAAATTTGAACAAGGATGACTTTAGTTGCAACTTGTAACTTGTAGGAAAATGACCAAAGTACCCTCTGTTGTAATGACTTTTTGTAAAACCTTCTGTCTTGACTTTGTGTGTGAAGGAGCTCCTATCCCTATGTAATCATTTCTTTCAGACCACTGTGCACCTTCAATGTCAGTGGAAGACCCGGCTGGCTTTGCAACAATGAAAATCTAATCTTTTCTTTTCTTTTTCGTTTTTCCTCTTCCTGTTTTGGTACAAGAAAGAACTTTGTTTATTTTTGAAAAAATATCATTTAAGTAGAATGTAAAAATAATAATAATAATAATAACAACATATTAATGAAAAATTTTAAACCATTAAAAGATAACTTTATAAACTTTTTCATAAAATTGTAATTATTTTTACAAAACACCACTAACATGTTATTTTTTCTTGTTTTTCTAGTAAGAATTGAAATTAGAAGGATGAGAATTCACCAGTCTAACCATTGTGCTATCCTGGTCCTTAAATCTTTCTTTCCGTAAACTTTATATATTAATCAGAGAGTTTTTTAAAAGAATTGTATTTCAGGAAAATAGTCGAGAAATAACATCAATCATAAAAATTTAACTTTTTAAATTATATTGCAGTCTACAACGCATACGGAAACAAGAGACAAACGTCCCACCGTGTATTTATTCTTCCAAGAAAACACATACCAACACATCGAAGTCTTTTGTCAATAACGTCGATTAGACAGTGTTGTTAAGTTGGTAGAGTTTATTATAAGTCTAATTTTAATAATTTAAATTATTTAATATATAAAATTTGTTGAGTATTTTATTTTTATAAAAAAATTACGTTGATTGTATTTACCATTAAAAAAATTATGAACTGATCAAGAGGTTATTGATATCCGATTAATATGATTTTTTACAAGAATAAAGTAATCAACAAGCTTTACATATTCAACGATTCGAATTATCAAAATAAGACCCATGATGAACTCCACATATCCAATAGTACTATTCAGTCTACAAAAATTACAATTAGGTTTTGAAAATTTGTTTAAAATACGAATTATTTCGCGTAGTTTGAAAAATTATAAATACCCCTCTTGCCATTATTTTTTATTTAACACAATTAATAAAAAAAATCAAATTTCTAATTGCTCTCATATACAACAAAAAAATTATTTGAATTGTTAATTGAAATATATTTATGAAATCATTAAAAATTGTCAATTGATTTGATGATTTATTAATAAAATGAGTTATTTATTATGCAATTATAAATTTGAAGGGGCGTGATATAATTTTTAAAATAATAGGAGGCAATATGTATTTTAAGTAAATTTTAGAAGATGTATTTATAATTTATTCTAAATAATTTTAAGGGAACTTACCAATAAGTCTCATATACAAAGTTTAAGATTTATCTAATCCCCAAACAAAACACTTACACCAATTAGTCCTATATATTTTTAATTGTTATCAAAAAATCTTTTTTTTTTTTTTAATTTACAGATGCTGTTACATTCTACTACCGTCAAACAGTCATTGGAAACTCATCGGAATATTCAACATCATCAGAAAGTCGCCGGAGTATCGCCGAGAAGTTCAGCAGAGTGTTAAGAACGTTAATGGAAGTCGCTGGAATGTTTAGAACGTTCACGGAACGTTAAGAACATCATTGGAGATTCACCGGAATATCCAGAATATTGTCGGGAAAAAAAAAATGGAGAAATTAGAGTGAAAAAATATAGCAAAATGTGCTAAATATTGATAAACTAAAAGAAAAAAAAAATAGAATGACAAAAAACAGCAATAATGGGAAAAACATATGCTATTTTTCAATTTTTGTAAGGTTTAAGCAAATAATCTCCAATATTGATCAAACTGAAAAGTAAGTTTTGAAATTGTAAAATATTACAGTTTCAAAGAAAAAATCTATTAAGCATTTATTCTAATTAATCAAATTGAAAAACATGTTATGAAATTATAAAATTTTATAATTTTATACCATGATTCATTCCAGCACCAAAAAAATTTGAAATTGCAAAATTTTACAGTTTCCATCGCCTGTAGCTAAAACTCAAAAATAACTTGTTCAGAACTTAAAAATTTTCTCCATTAGAACAGAAAAAGAGAAGTATATAACAAAGAAAATGTAAAAAAAAAAAAAAAAAAAGATCGAAGGAGAGAGGTGAATATAGAGAGAGTATTGTACTTCGACAATTATTTTTTATTTAGATCTAACTGGATCTGATGTAGATCTATTCAGATCTGATGTAAATCTACACAGCACCAACAAAATTTGAAACTACAAAATTTTACAGTTTTCACCGCCTGTAACTAAAACTCGAAAACAACTTGTTCAAAATTTAAAATTTTCTCCATTAGAACAGAAAAAAGAGAAGTGTATAATAGAGAAAATGTAAAAAAAATAAGAGATCGAAGGAGAGAGACGAATATAGATAGAGGATTGTACTCCGGCAACTATTTTTTTGTTTAGATCTAGCCGGATCTAATGTAGATCTACATCAGATTTGATGTAAATCTACTTATGTTCTTCGTTGAAAACATATCTTTTTTATTGTCAGTGAGAATGAAGTATGTAATTGGCGGTCGGTGGTTGCCGGTGAATCCCAATCGATGGTAGTCGTTGGTTTCCGGTGACTATATATCGAAAAGAGAAAGAGAAGAAACAAGATATGGTTACCCTTCAACAATCGCCGGAAAACACAAAGAGCAAAAGAGACAAAGAAGAAGAGAGGCAGAGAAGAAGAATAATAACGTTATAGGACTTTTGGGTATAAGCAAAAAGTTATGGGACTAAATAGACTACACGTTTTTTAAACAAGACTTCCTGTTAATTTCCCCATAATTTTATGAAGGTCGAAACTATAGGCTAAGCCAAATCCAACAGGCTCGGCCGATCCTTTGATAAATATGTCCATAACTAATCACATATAGAAAAAAAAGGTTGGGTTCTTGTGACATTGGAATGGGCTTGACAATCAATGAGGTCAAGAAATCTTTTGTGACCCCAATTGAAGTACAAATGCCATGATCAAAAAGTATTTAATATTAAAAAAATATAAATCAAAGTGTTTTGGATACCTCATTCATAATCAAACATAATCTTCCCTTTTCTCTTATATTCTCTTCTTACTCTCTTCACTTTGCATTGTCATAATCACTCTTATTTTGCTTGAATTCGTTATTCTTGCAATCTATTTCATATTAAAATTGACAATGAACAATGAAAAAAGATGTTTCTAGACAATTATTTTTTCATCATTTTTGGCTATTGAGTTTACAAAATCTGTTTAGAAATTCAATACCGAACAAATTACATTTATTCAAAAAGTTAATTTTAAACAAAATTCATATATTCGACATGTGTTTCCGAAATAATGGTCATTGTTTAGTAATATCCAAACAGTTTATGTTCGGTTTTGTGTTTTTGAACATTTAATTTTGTTTTTTTAAATTTTTTTTTTGAGAAGGGAAAAGAAAAAAGAAAAAGTAGATGAAATATGAATGAAATATATATTCACAAACTTTTCCCCTCCCTTTTCAAATCCCTATCCAAATACATGAATCAAACATAATTTTAATATATTTAATTAGGTATTTATTGTATTAATATTATTTAATAATTACAATGACGTCCTTAAGACGAGGGTCTAAAGATCAAAGCACATAACAATACAAAATTGGAATTAAAAGTTAAAAAATGTAGGATGCTAATGCGATTTTGGAAAACGTTTTATCCTCTAAACTTGGAAAAGGCTTAGGTGTTGAGATGGTATCTCGTGGTATTGTTATATACTACTTTCAACTAATTATAAATAATTAACTTTCATATTATCTCCAAAATATCTAATATAAATGTTATAGAGCCACTGTCGAAGAAAGCCAATAAAAAAAACTAATCACAAATAATTAACTTTCATATGAGAACTAAGCTAACGGATGCGGATTGATTTTTTTCAATCAGCCTAAGTTTGGATGAATGAAGGATGAGAGGCCTACAACAAATGACATTTTGGCGACCAAAATATTAGTCGCCAAACATCCAATTTTTAGTCACCGATACCATTTAGATTCATGAGCACCCCTAATGTGAGCCTTACGTATTGAGATTCTATTACTCATTTGAACGGAAGCTTAAAAAATTTATGAAATTGGTACTTGATTGAAATTATAAGAAATTGACTTTCACATATAAAAAACAAGAGGCCAAAGTGAGATTTAGTGAATTAGTATAAAGTACATGGGAGCAAAATATAGTTTACCCTTGATTTATATATACCTACAAATAACTCGTACCTGAAGGCACTGCCCATTATAATCTAGCCCAATCTGAATTAACCTTCAAAATTTCAAATAGAAAGGCTCTAAATCTTAATTGTATGATCTAAGCCAAATAATTTTGTAGACAACCGTTGGATCTTCTCCTTAGAACTAATCTGAGCCATCCAAATGTCCACATAGGACAAATGTCTCTAACACATTTTCAAAACTAGCCATGTTTTGTTATGTAGATGTTATATAATTGTTTTTGAACCACAATTTTCTTAGGTCATATTATAAATAAATAAATAAAACCAATAAATAAAGGGGTAATTGCGAACTAATCCCAATAAGTAGACTTAAATATAACTAACTAGGCCTAGGCTAATTAACCACCATGACTCTGCTGAGGGTTAGTTCTAGGGGGGGGAGGGGGTCATAGATTCAATTCTCCATAAGGGAGAGTTGAATTAAGAGGCAAGCACTTGGTGCTTTACAAAAGCAGGGAGGCTAACTCTCTTATGGTGTTAATCTAACAACTAACAACTGACTTTCGCCGATACAAAAAGAAAAAAAAAAAAAAGTAGACTTAAATACCATTAAGTCCTATTAACTTTTTGAATGCATCAATAGGTCCTACAAGTTCTCTTTCATCTTCTCTTCTCTTATTTTCTCTCTCTCTCTTTTTATCTCACCTCCACTATCATTATTCGGATGCCAGCACGATTCACCGACTATCTCCACCATCGCCGATTTATACACTATATTACACTGTCTACCACCACCGTTACTGTCGTCGTCCACCCACCATCACCACCATCGTTATTTGGATGCCAGCACCATTTACTAATTATCTCCACTATTGCTGATCTGTACACTATATTACCGCTGTCGCTGATC